CATAAGAGACCAAACACAGGTGACCTGTAGGTCACAGGGACGTTTAGGGACAAACAGCTGTCCCTGGGGACTTGGTCCTGGGTGGGTCTGACCTCCCCATACAGCTCTCTGGGAATTTTCTGTTGACATCCATCCCCTCGGTGGCAGCCCATGGGGACCCTTCACTTCAATCAGTGGCTCTCAGTAATAGGAATATTACTTTGCTTTGAATTTGGCCTCAGCACTGCTCTGCCCCATAGATCCTGATCCTTCCTACCCCCCAGAAGCTCAGAGTGATGCACAACCTCAGGTGGTACCTGATAAAACAGCCCCCTCACTCACTGTGGTTTGTGAGCTGGGGTTGGAGATGGAGACCTGAAACATCCCCATCATGTCAGCTGGGGACAAGGGATGGGAGATCCCAGGCTTCTGCCACTTCTCCTGCTGCAGTCCCCCACGGCAGTGCTGGAGCTTTGAAACCGATGGGGAAGCCCCAAGTCGAGGGGTCCCACTACCCCATCCCTTGCCTGCCCTTTCCTCCTCCTCTCTCCTGGTCCCAGCAGAGGATGAAACCTGAGCCTGGAGCAAATGGCATCTGAAGCAGCCCCCATCCCATCCCTGGGCAGCGGGAGCTGTGGGAATGCAGTGCCTTTGTCACAGGCTAATTTTGGCTCCTCTGTGCTCCAAAAACAATCCCAAGGCAGCTGGGAGGAAAGATGTTGGAGGCCTGGCCCCATGGGGCTTTTCCCTTATAAAGGTCTAACGGGGTGGTTTAAATCCTCCTCCTCTTCTGCAGCCTGGAGCAGATCTGCTGCACTGGCTCTTGGAGCCAGGGAAGGGGAGAGGTCCTTGGAGGGGTCCCCGAGGTGGGTGGGCATAGGGGGGTTTCCCCCTGCCCACTGGGATTTGTTTAGTGCAATTCTCACAAGGATGGCACTGCCACTGTCACCATCACCGATCTCCCACCAGGTGTCAGGCAGGGGGAAGGAGGCTCTGTGGGATGGGGGGGCTGTCTTTGCCCCCCACCACAGGACCTGCCCCACACGCAGCTGTGTGTCCCTCCGTGACCATAATAGCCCCAGGATTAACATGCCGGGCATTGTCCCTGCTGGGCCCCACGCTGGGAATTGTTTGCTCCCAAATTTGTCCCTAAAAATATCACAGGGAACAGGTGCTGCTTGCCCTGTGATTCTCTGCCATGCAAAGCCTCCTTCCACAGGGGCACTGGGCAAGGGGCTTTGAAGGGTGCAGGGGGGTGAGACAGCAGCTTTTTCTCTGCTTTTCAGGAATTTCATTGGGAAAACTTCAGGGCTTGTGAGAGGCTCAAAGTTGCTTGAGCATCCCAACCCACTGGGCTGTACTAAGGGAGACTGGATGATCCTTCTCCCCAAAGGGGGACAGCTCCTTGGTCCCAAATCCATGTTTTAGCCCATCACCCCTCAGCAACCTGGCTGAGGGGGTTTATCCTCTTCTCTGGTGGCTCCCAGGAAGTCCCTTGGCCAGTGCTGCTCTGCTGTTCTGTTTATGTCCCATCATGCAGGGGGGTCAACACTGCAGCATCTCCCCAGGCTCACAACCCCCCACCCCCAACCCAACAGAGACCTACTGAAAGCAAAAAAGAAAAGAAATAAAAGGAAAAAAACCCATACAACAAAAAGAAAGGAAAAAAAAAATCAAGAGATTTTCTGCAAAGGAAAAGCACTGCAGTGTTTCGGTTCATAGGTTCTGTCTCCTCCAGAAAGACTCAGGGGTTTTGCAGCATCTCTGGTGCTGTTTCACATCAGAGAGGAGCAAGGTAGAGGTGCCACGAGGATACACCTCATCCACATGGGCATCACTATCACAGCCTGGTCAGCCTGAGCTGGTACCTCTGTGTGTTCACACACAACACCCCTGTGAGCAGCAAGTGCTGCCCAAGCCGGGGGGATTCCAGTGCCTAAAGGGGCTCCAAGAGAGTTGGACAAGGGATGGAGTGACAGGACAAACGAGAATGGTTTCCCACTGCCAGAGGGCAGGGTTAGATGGGATATTGGGAAGGAATTCCTGGCTGTGAGGGTGGGGAGGCCCTGGCACAGGGTGCCCAGAGAAGCTGTGGCTGCCCCATCCCTGGAAGTGTCCAAGAGCAGGCTGGACAAGGCTTGGAGCAACCTGAGAGAGTGGAAGGTGTCTCTGCCCATGGCAGGGGGGTACAACGAGATGAGTTTTAAGGTCTGTTCTAACCCAAACCCTTCTGGGATGATCCACATCCACCAAGTCAAGGGGTGCTCATGGGCGCCCTGATGAGGCACATGGGCACTAACACAGGGGTGCTGTGTGTGTCACCCCGTGTCCCAGCCAGTGCCCCAGGTGTGTGCAGCACGTCACAGCATGCTGGGACTCGCAGCAAACGCCTGCAGCAGCAGGAGGGGATTTGTGCTATTTTTACTGACCACTTACAGGCAGGGCTGCGATTCAATACTCCCCCTCGGTGCTGGCCCCCTGCACTGTGTGGCTCTCCGGGGGCCAGGCATCACCTCCCTCCTGCACAGCCCCAGGTAAGGCACTGCCCTGGTGTCCCCCTGCCCGAGGCCCCTTGGGTGTGCTGGGGGTGACACAGGTGAGACCCGTGGCACTCGCACGTGGTGGCAATGGAAGGGAGGGATGTGAATTTGTCTGAATGTCTGCCCCTCTCTGAGGTGGATCAGACTCTTGCTCTTGGAGAGAGGATTGGTGAAGGTGCAATGGGGAGAAATATTTTGGAGCTGATATTTGACTGGGTTTTTTTCAGAAAACTGGCAAACAGGACTGCTTTGGGGAGCATTTCCCTGTGTGTCCCAGTCTAGCTGCTCACTGGTGTGAGGTTCAAGGGCAGGGGCAGAGTGTGGCATCGTGTTAATGGGAGTGTGCTTGTGGTTTGTCTCCCCTGGGATGGGGAAGGATGTCAGGATTGACTGTGTTTGACTCACAGCTGGGTGAGTGCAAACAGTGCAGGATTAGCTTGTCCAGATCCTCTCATCCCCATCAAAGTCTCTTGTGGGTGGTCCAGACCCAGCTGGATCCCAAAAGTCCTGGCACTGGGGTTTGCTGGGGATGTCTTACCAGCACAGCTGAGTAAGGACAGCTGGCTGTCCCCTGGGAGGGCAATTTGGAACTATTTGGCCCTAAAAATGGACTGACCTTGGTAGAGGTCATCAGCCTGAGGTGCTGTGTGGATCCCACCTCGTTGGGACACTGGGCTTTGCTCCAACGGGGAACACTGGGGACACTGAGAGGCTTCACTCAGCCCTTGTCACCTCCAGAGAGACAAAGGCTCTTCTGCCACCCCTGAAATGAACCAGGGGGGAGCAGCTGGGACCCGACCTCCTCAATGCACCAGTGCTGACTTGTTTCCTTTGGGATGTTTGTCATGGCACCAAAAACCTCCCAAAAGGCATGAAACAGGTGGCTCTGACTGATGTGGCTTTGAGGACAAAAAAACCTCCTGTTCTTGGGATTTTTCCTTGTAAATCTAGGGATCTGGGAGGCTCTGGGAGAGATTCTTTCTGGGATTTTATGGCATTTCACTCCCCCCCTCCCCCAGGCTCCATTCCTTCAGGACACAGCTCTGGCCAGGCTGCAGGGAATGCAGGGAGGGGACAGGGACAAATGGACAGAGCCAGGAGGTGCCCTGAGACTTGCTTGGCACAGGCTGCATGCACATCTGGCAGCAGCATTTTGAGACCAGAATTGTTCTGTTTTCCTTCCCCCAGCAGGAATCTTTGGGTTTAAACCACTTTCCAAATTTAGGGGGACGCAAAATGATCAGGGGAAAAAAAAATTCCAGTGTGGCCATTTCACTTCTAAGGAAAAGGACTAAAAAGACTCCTGGATAATACTGTTTCTTTCTAAAATATGGCATCAGGTTGCCACTGGTGGTTGGAAAGAGAAAAAGAAAAAAAAATGATTGGCATTTTGCCATGTATTTTTCTGTTACTGGGGCTCACACAGTGCCCCAGTTCCTTGGCAAGTGAGGGTAGTGCCAGTGGTGGGGCTGGGGGAGAGAGGGAGGCAGCACAGTCTGGAGCAGCTGCCAAGGCATGAGATTACCAAGCAAAGATAAAATATGAAACCCTGAGTGTTTCACCTGGGATGGGGCTGCTAAAGGAACCTCCTCAACTGTGGGCTGTGACTTAATGAATCCCAGAATGGTTTGGGTTGGGAGGGACCTCAAAACTCATCCCATTCCACCCCCTGCCATGGGCAGGGACACCTTCCACCAGCCCAGGTTGCTCCAAGCCCTGTCCAACCTGGTCTTGGACACTTCCAGGGATCCAGGGGCAGCCACAGCTTCTCTGGGCAACCTGTGCCAGGGCCTCCCCACCCTCACAGCCAGGAATTCCTTCCCAATATCCCACCTGACCCTGCCCTCTGGCAGTGGGAAGCCATTCCCCTTGTCCTGTCACTCCATCCCTTGTCCAAGTCCCTCTCCAGCTCTCTTGGAGCCCCTTTAGGCACTGGAAGGAGCTGTAAGGTCTCCCAGGAGTCTTCTCCAGGCTCAGCACTCCCAGCTTTGCCAGCCTGGCTCCATGGCAGAGGTGGTGCCCCTTGTTCCATCACTCCCTCGATGAGTTTTGGCTCCCCCATCCCTGCCGTTGCCCTCAAGGAACTGCAGGACAGGACTCCCAGAGCCGACACAGTGCGGGGAGCCCCAGGCACCCCATTTCTCCCGAGATTTCCAGCCGCACTCCCCTCCATCCCCTTGCTCCGGGCTGGGGCGGGTGACGCAGCCGGCGGGAGAACAGCTCCGTGCTTGGGAAAACCCCCGAGGATCAGGAGCCCGAGTCCTGCAGGGCCGGCTGGCGGCAGGTTGGAGCTTGCCCGAAATGAAATCAGGTTTCCCCGGAGCCAGAAGGCTCGTCCTGGGGTTTCAGAGCGCTGTGGAGGCTGCGGAGCCGCTTCCCTCGACCGACAGCGCGGGGCAGCACCGGACCTCGGGATCGTTCTGTCGCTGCTTTCTGGCTTTGTGTGGATTTGGGATTTGCACGTTTGTTTCAGCTTCTTCCCTCTTATTTTTTTTTTTTCGGCAGGCGAAGAGCAACAGCACATCGCCGCAATGCCAGAGCCGTAAGTAGCACGAGGTCCCCTGGGATTCACTAAACCCTCTCCTGGCTGCTCGTGCAGTCTGAGCTTGGAGGGGTTCAACTGGGAGCCTGGCCCCAGCTGAAGACTACTGTGGCATTCCCCTTGCAAAAAACGATCTTTAAATAACACTTATTAGTGATTTTGATGTCACAATTCAAACCTTTAAGCTTGCCTGCATCCCAGAATGTGGATCTGAGGTGGGCAGCACCTCACTTGATTTGCTGTGAGGCTCCTCATGGGACATTGTACAAATAGAACATGTTCTCTGGTGTGCAGAGAAGGGAGAAACCTCCCTTCAAAGCCCCAGCCCTTCAAACCTGAGCAGGATCCAAACATCCCTGGCTGCTCAGGTGGATGAGAGTGTTGTGGCCCGACCTGCAGGGACTGAGCTGGGATTGGCAGGATGGGCACCCTTTGGGCTCACCTGAGGCATCTGAGTGGCATTTTGGCTTTCCAAGCAGTGGCTCTGAGCTCCCACTGCATTTCCAGTGAGCACCATCTCAGACCTGGCTCACATGCTGGTGGCAACCATTAGATACAGAAATAAGGAACGAACTGCAGTCACACAAGATGCTTTCCTTAACTCTTCCCTCTTTTTTTTTTACTCTCACTGATGCCCTGTTTTCTTCTCTTGTTTCTTATTGTTCCTTCCTGGCTGCTCACCTGCCTGCAGGGAGGTAAGTGCCTTTCCCTTCAGGATTGATCTCGATGCTGCTCTGCGTTTGTTGTGAGTTTGTTTTCAAAGGGTGTTTTCTTTTTCCTCCCCTTTCCCCTAGAGAAAATCCAAGATCACAGCCTCACGCAAACTCTTGTTGAAGGTGAGTCCTGAGGGTTGGAAACTCCCTGGGATTTGTGTTGCTGGGGGAAAGGAGCTGGGGTTGGAGTGCGTGGTTGGTGGGACAGTGATGAGGAATGGCACAAATATGGGCCGTGGGGAGCAGCTCCTATCCCACCACTTGTCTTCTCACTCATGTGGGCTTTGTGGTCCAAGCACCAAACAAACCTCCCCTCACCTCTCCTTCACTGAGGTGGGGAGAGGCTCTGACACCTTCAGCTCTGAAGCCACAGCCCCTGTGTTGGTGCTCCAGCAGCTCTGCAGCGTAAGCCTGGGATGTGGCTTGGGATAAACATTTAATGCCCAAGCAGAGCAAAGAGAGTGCCAACGTCAGCACCCATTGGCACCACAGCCCCAGGTGCTTCTGCTGCTCCCTCTGCCTTTGGGGTCCCCACACAAAAGGGGTAGGGAGCTTTTGATGTGTGTTTGGGGCACAGCTATAGCAGGGAGGAGGTTTGGCAGAAGGGACAGTCCCATCCTACAGATGTTGAACAAGTAGGCTCAGAGGGGAACAGAGGAGCCTGTTCACACTTCTGCCATTGACTTGTGCTCGTAGAGTTTGATGCTGGCAAAAGCGAAGGAGGAGTGGGATCAGGAGATCGTGGACAAGCAGTCAGAAAAGGAAAGATACCTGTCGGAGCGGATTACACCGCTGCACACCAGTGGGCTTTCCTTGAGCCAGCTCCAGGTATTTCTCAGGTCTAAGGGTCGAGTGAGCTCCTTGGGAGCATGGAGGGGCCTCACTCACTGCTCTCTCGTTGTGCTTGGCCCCCAGGACCTGTGCAGGGAGCTGCACGAGAAGGTTGAGATTGTGGATGAAGAGAGATACGACATTGAGGCAAAGTGCAACCATAACACCCGGGAGGTAGGAGGCAGGACGGGCTGTTTGCCTCTGCAGAAACTCCCTCCCAGGGGGTAGCTCTGGCCTCCAAGGGGGTCTGACAGGGACTGGATTGAGCTCAGATGTGGGACATGCACCAGGGTTATCTAAGGGCTGGTGTTTGCTCTGCAAGGCACCACTCAGCACAAGGTTCATCCCTGCCCAAGGGAACTCAAACTGTCCACGGGGTCCACAGGCAACCTCCTCACTCTCCTGGTCACGCTGTGTGGGTCTGAGAGGTTCCTGTGGTAATGCTGCCATCTGAGCCAGCTGGGATGAGGCCATGACAGCAGCTCTGTGCTTGGGTGGACAGTGCCTTGGTGAGGATGGTCCTGGTGGCTGCAGGAGAGGCGCAGATCCCTCTGGGGCTCAGTGTCGGCAGAGACTCCTGCTTCACACACCTTTTCGTGCAAAGCAGCCACGCAGTGACCTCCCACTCACGCTCCTTCCCTCAACCTGCAGATTAAAGATCTGAAAATCAAAGTTCTTGATCTCCGAGGGAAGTTCAAGCGGCCCCCCCTGCGGCGAGTCCGTGTGTCCGCCGATGCCATGCTGAGGGCTCTGCTGGGCTCCAAGCACAAGGTGTCCATGGATCTCAGAGCTAACCTGAAGTCTGTCAAGAAGGAGGACACAGAGAAGGTGGGTGACTCTTCTGGAGGCCAGAGATGGAGATACTTCCTAGGAATGCCCTTGCCCTTCTCCAGGGTGCCCTTGTCATCCCTTGTCAGCCTCAGAAAGAGCCTTGTGAGGCACTGCCCATTGTGGGATGTCATAGGATCACGTAGGAGCAGTTTGACCAGGCCAGGTGGATGGTAACAAGTGAGATTTGGGGCTATGTCCATGGTGCTCTTCCTTCCTAGAGCACATGGGTGTCTTTCATTTGGGCCCCCTTGGCACGACTGTTGAGCTGCATGTGCAGAGAGTTTGGTCTTTGATTTTCCAGGGAACCAGGAGAGCTCCTGTTGGGAGCAACAACATCCAGAAAACTCCCAGGGACCTCCCAGACCCAGATTAGATAAAACAAAGCAGCCCAGCAAGCACACTTGACCTGAGATAAACGGCTGAGTTCCCACCAGCTTGGCAGAGGCGTGAGAGGGAAAAGTCTCAATACCAGTGATGAAGAGGGTTGCCCAAACCTGCCTGGGGTGTGCAGGTGCCCCAACAGCAAGAGTTGTGCTGCTTTCCTAGGGGCCCTCCCCAGAGGGCTTTTACCCTTTGGTCTCAGCTCAGCAGACTGGATGAGATCTCAATTTTCAACTATTTTTCCTTTTTCCTCCTGTTGCTAGTCTAGTACTTTTCCAGTCCCTTGGATAGAAAAGTATGCTTACAGCCCTTAGCACCAGGTGGTGAATGGATCTGGGTTCATTTTAGATGTCATGAGATGATGTCGGGGCACAGTTTGTAATCTATGAATGCTGTGGATTGGCAGAGCAGATACCTGCACATGGTCCCAGAGCTGCCATCACCTCCCCTGTCTGCTCTAGAAGTGGCTGCCAGGCTCTCACTGCCACAGCAGCAATCCCAGTCCCCTTTGAAAGCCTGGGGAAGGTGGAGGTGGGTTTTATGGGAGCTGGAAAGTCGAGGCAGGAAGTGAGTTTGTTCACCTCTGCCCCAGTGTGTTGGTGTCGATCCAAAGTCCCAAGTGCTGGTTTTCAACTCCTAAAGAAATTTTTCTGGGACTTCTGTGCCTTCTCGTGCACGAATGTAATCTAGCCAGGCTTTGAGGGAGGAGTATCCACATGAATCCAGATATCTCCACGGAGATCAGACCTTCCCAGTCAGCTCCACATGCAGGGACACACGGCAGAGCTGGATCTGCAGTAGAGGGTCTTTGCAACAGGGCAGCTGCCTCCCCCAGCTCCTTGTGCTCCAGGGCCGAGGGCTCTGTGCAAGGGGCAGGGACAGTGTGGGGCTGCTGCTCCCCCCATCCCACAGCCCCTGCATCCCTGCATCCCTCCCGGCAGGAACGCCCCGTGGAAGTGGGCGACTGGCGCAAGAACGTGGAGGCCATGTCGGGGATGGAGGGGAGAAAGAAGATGTTCGACGCTGCCAAGTCCCCCACGGGGCAGTGAGAGGTAGGGCCCTGCTCCTCCTTTCCCCTGTGCTCCCTGCAGCATCCTGATTTGTGCTTATGGCCAGGGAAATGCAGAAACCAACCCCATCCTTACCGGAAAAGAAAGGCATCACATCCCCCTGTCCCACCCCACACTTGGGACAAGTATCTGTCCCGCACATCCCTGCCATGGGGCCCCTGCCAGCAGCTGTTCTCTCTCAGCTTGTCAATGCTGCCCATGTCACACTCCTCCTGTGCATCATGGGCATCGCTGACACTGACTGCAGGCTGCTGACAGCAGCCCAAAACCTCCTCTTCTGCCCCACTGCTCTGTTTCTTTCCCACAGGAGCATCGGGAAGAAGAGCTGCCCCATCCCTGCTGCCTGCCTCCCTTTCCCTCACTGCCCCTCCGTGCTCTGTCCACCCTTACCCTGAATTCACCACTGAGCTGAAACATGTGGACAACTGTGTGGGAAGGAGACCTGAGCTTCTTTCTTTCAGCACTGCCATCAGCCCTGCTCCTGCTCAGCTCCCCAGTATCACCTGCACGGGCCACGCTGTTCCAAGGGCCCACTGGCCATCCCTCCCCTCCCACCAATGCAGAGAGGCCTCAGAGATGGCTCCTGCTCCTCCTTCTCCCCCATCCTCTGGCAGGAGCAGCCTGAGATGTCCCTGTGTGACTGCACATGTATTAAAGGACGGTGTCCCAGGCAGAGCATCGTGTGGGCTCCTCACTGGGGACACTGGCCAGGGGCAGGGGCTGCTCCACAGCCTGGTGGGGAGGACACCCTGGTCCTTTCCTGACCCCCTGCACTGTCCCCGTGCTGGCCCAGAGGCCAGCAGCACATGCTGGGCTCAGACTGGCTTTGGGCTCATCTCTTCCAGCCCCCAGGCTGCTCCCTCATGTCCCACCATCCCTGCTGAGCCCCCCTGGGCCTGTGCATGGGCCACCCTTGCTGGGCTCCAGCAATGCCCCAACCTGCCAACCACCAACTGGGGGGGCTGTGAAAGAGCTACCCCCAAGCCCCCCTTTCCTCTGGTTTTAGAAAAGCCTTCAGAGCTTGCTCCCCAAGACACCAACTCTCCCACCAGCTGCCCCATCACAGGTCTGGGAGCTGTGGGAATTGGGGCAGCCCCATTCCAAGGCTTCATTCAAGCATTGTTTCAGGAGAGCACGAGACAAATCCACCTTTCAGGCCAAAAATCTCATGATCCCCCCTCCCAGCCCCATCATTTCCTGTATCACAGCTCCCCAGACTGCATCTGGTTGAGTGAAAGCAGCTGGGAATGTGTCAGCTCATCCCCAGAGCAGGGCAGGAGGGGTGAATTAGTGAGCATTCACAACATATTGGGTCTTCTGGCTGGTTGTAGTGCAGGAGATGCTCAGGCCCCACAGAGTGCTGGTTTTGGTGTGTGTAGCGGTGCCTTGTCCACGTTCCCAACGTCTCCAGAGGAATTAGAGCATCCATGGTTTCAAACCCACACCACACTGTGGGTGTGTTGCAGCACACCCCATCCCTTTGTAGTGAGCTTGTAAAGTGCAGAAAATGTAATAAATTGGGAGCAAAGTACAGGTCTCTAGATGGCTGGAGGGAAATAGCATCAAAAAGTGTGTGGCTTCCAAGGAACTCAATCTTCCCAGGAAAACATTAAATTCCTTAGGGATAGAAAAGGGTGTCCCCATGCAGATGGCTCCTGCAGGACTCTCCACAGCAGACTCGTGGCTGACAGTGCAAGCAAGGAAAGATGGGTTTTGGTTTGGAAACTGGATTGCTCTGGGCATCACATCCCCTCCTTTGGCCAATTCAGGAATACTGAGCTGAACTGCTCACTTTTGTCCCCAGACAAAGAAGGTAAGGGTAGGTGGTGACTGACGGGAATCCTTCTTTCTAGCATGGTCATTGGCACTCGGGCTGCCACAACAACCCAGCAGCTCCTTCACAGAGGATTTAAAACCCATATGAAAACTCATCCCAAAATCAGGGTTAGATCAGAGGTGGCTGCCAGCTGGAAAATGCATATTTGTTCCATTGGCAAACACTGATGCATGATCTTTGTCATTCCACCCGACCCTTCCAGGCCCTCCGCATCCTCCTGCATGACTAGAGCAGTTGCATGGCACACAGAGCCTTTTCCACCCATTTTTTCCTATTCAAGCTTGATTTGGCCAAGCAGCTGCAGCCTGGCACAGCTCCAGGACTCACTGACCCCTTGTCCTCACCTCACACATCCCAGGACAGGCTCTGGGCAGGCACAGCTCTGGGAATTGAGTCTGTGTCTCGGCCAACCCAAGCGACTCCTCTCTCAGAGGTGATCAGATATCATTCACGGTGAGATCCCAGGACCTGCCATGGCCCAACCTGTCCCACCACTGGAGGCAAAAGGTTTTTTGGCTACGATCTCACCCCTCCGAGCTCAGTGCCCAAGCGGGAACTGTGCCCAGGCAGCGTCCTGGGATCCCGCCGTGTGCACTCTCCCCAGAGGGAACTCACACACTCGGCAGCGATCCTGGCACAGGAAGAAAGATGTGCAGGGAGAGGTAATAACTGTTACCTGACCAACTGGTAGAGCTGGAAAATGCAAGAGAAGATTCATGGAAACGAAGCCTTCTTCAGACCTGGAACATAAGCAGAAAATGGCACACCAAGGGTTGAGAACAGTTGCTCTGAGCTTAGTGCAATTATGCTAATTTGGTAATTAAAAAAAAAAAAAAACCCAACAAAAAATGGGGTGGTGTTTCTGGGGTGGGGAGGGATGGAAGACATTACAGGTGATGGGTGCTGTGGGACCAGGCCCCAGCTGATGCAGCCAAACTGTTCCAGTGCCCGTTGCCCAGCTCATTGTCAGATCCTGCACACCAAGAGACCCGAAATTGCTGCAGAGGAAAACCTCAGGGCTCCCCAGTGTGACTTTGCAGCCACTGTGAGGGCCAGGCTGGGTGTGCTCAGCAAGGTCCCGGGGCCCACATGCACTCAGTGTCAGGTGGCTTTGTGTGGCTGCCTCGTGTTTTAGATCGAGGGGGAGAGAAAAACCCAACCCCAAAGCTCTTCGCTCTCCAAGTTCCCCTACTTTTCCAACCTATGATGCTCCCCAGTCACCGTGTCCCATTTTCATCCCTCTCTGGTGGAAAATCACACTGACTGTCATGGGAAAACAAAGGTTTATGGATTTCAGTTTTATTAGGAACATGGAAAAAACATGGGGGAAAAAAAAACTCTTCAGTGGGACTGAATCTCAAGGCGAAGATGCCACTGTCTGCTCTGAGCATGAGGTTTTGGATCAGGGGACTGGGAGCCAAGTCTTCTTCACCTCTGGAGCTGCTTCTGTGGCTTTGGACCAGCTGGGAGCCCAGCTCTCCCCTTAACAAAGGGGGAAGGTGGAGCCTTTCATCCCTGGATACCCCTGGCTTCCCTCACGCCAGGCCAGCTCTGCAGTCCCATGGTTATTTCCCTCCCAGATGACAATAATCTCAATTTCTTCTCACTGAATTAGAAGGCAACCCTACAATAATCCCCTTTTACTGAAAATTCTGCCCCAATAGGGGATTTACAAGGCTTTTCTTAGGGAGAGAGACTGATGCTGGAGGAGTCACTATTTCATAATGGTGTTTCTTTCAGTAGAACTGGAGGTCAGTCCTGTTTCCTTGAGCTGAGGAACTGTCCCACAGTTTGCTCCATTGCAGCCAAAAGCCCACAAAACAAAGCAAAGCAAAGCACTGGAAAGTTAGAACTGCACAAATTTCAAATGAAATTGGACAGTAGAAAAAAAGCATTGATCAAGCCAATGATTTTCTGCTGGAAAAGTTTTGCCAGGAGAACTGCAATGAGGGAGATGTAAGCAGCTTGGTCCAATGAGGACCTTCCAAAATATCCCTCCTGGTCGGTTGTAAAATGGTCCTCTCCTCTCCTGCCGTGCTCTTGCTGACCAGCCATGCTTAGAGACATCTGAACTGTGCCCAAATATTTCCCTGAGTGTATTTGCAGCTCAGATGGAGGCAGGACCTGTGGAGGCAGGATGGGGAGGAAGGTTAGTGGTGATGGGCAACCTCTAGGTGGAAAAGGATAAAGTTTATCCCACGGCCTCTGACTATGGGTGTGGCACCCTGCCCTGCACAGGACTGACACCAGGCTGCAGTCCCCTGTGGTAAAGGTTAAACACTACCCCTGTGACCTCTCTGGCCTCTGTGGTGCAGGATTAAACCCCATGGCTGAATCAGCAGGTCTTGGCACAACCCTGGGACTTGTCCCATGGCACAACCATCTTGTCAACCTGGGCACTGCAGCCTCCACCCCAGGGACAGGCTGGTCCTGTGTGTTCTCCATGGTATAAAATGGGGAAAAACGGGTTTCTTCACCCCCATTTTCATCTGAAGCCTCCCAGGCTGGGGTGCTGCAGCCCCCAGGAGAAGCAGGGCAGGGTTGGGGTACACTGTGAGCGGGGTGCATCTGTCTTGTCCATCTTCCCTTGCTGTGGCCTGAGCCCTCTCACTCCCTGCTCAGAGATTTTTCATGAATTGCAACTAATTCAGTGGTGCCCAGTGACAGGACGAAGAGTGGTGGCCATAAAATAAACCGCGAGAAGTTCCACTTCAACACGAGGAGGAACTTCTTCCCATGGAAGGTGGCAGAGCCCTGGAACAGCTGCCTAGGGAGAGTGTGGAGTCTCCCTCTGTGGAGACATTCCAATCCCACCTGGATGTGTTTTCCTGTGTCACCTGCTCCAGGTGACCCTTCTTTGGCAGGAGGGTTGGACTGGGTGATCTCCAGGGGTCCCTTCCAGCCCCAACCATCCCATGATTCTGTGATTCCCTGTGCTCTGAGGGGCACAGTCTGAAGGCAGCTGCTGGCAGTGAGCCGGGCTGGTTCTGTCCTTGACCCGAAAAGTTTACACTGACGTCACTTTTGGGGGATGTCCATTGTTTGTCATTGTTGGATCTGGGGAATCACAGGGGTGGCATCTGCTGGGAAGGACAATCTGCCGGGAATGGAGCGGGAACCTGAAGGATAATTTAGCACCTGTGAGGCACCATGGTGGAATTTCTGAACGAAGAGTTCTTTTTTTTTTTTTTAAAGTTAAGTAATCGATAGAAAAAGGCCCTTTGTGAGGTGAGTGTGAGGCATTTTGGACCATGGTTATTCCTTTCCTGCAGCAAAGTCTGTGGTCGGTTTTTGTCCAGTTTCTGAGCAAGCACGCACCAATTTCAGGCACTCCCTGACTTTCCTCTCACAGCAGAGGTACCATCCCTGTACCATCAGTGCATGGCACACCTCTCTCCAAAAGCTGAAGCGATTGTAGAGGAGGAAGGGGAGCCCTGGACCATCCCAGTGCTGCAGAGCACCAGCACAGGGATAGAAGGAGAATAGAGGTTTTTGAAGCTGGTGGGACCTTTGGGAGCTGTGGCACCACTGCAGAGATGGGAGGGAGCTGGACAAGGGTGAAAAACCCCTTTTCATGGCCATCAAGTCCAGTGGGGAAGCCTGGGCCGATGATGCTCCTCCACCACAGCAGCACAGCGGGTATGAGCCTGAGGAGCTGAGGGAGGAGCTGAGCCATGGATAATGCTGAGGGACCAGCACAGCACAGAGGGTGGAGGTGGAAGGTTCACTGCTGGGCCCCAGGAGAGGCTGAGGAATGCCCTAATTACAGCACAGTTGTGGAAACTGGAAGCTCTCCACTGCCCTGTAGCCAAAGAAACAGGATCTGCGTCGGGATGAG